TGAGTATCGTTTCCTTAAGGAACGACCACTCGTCTTGGACACTGAGTTCCTCTGCCCTCAAGGACCCCAGTGCCTCTCCCACTAATCTCCTCATCTCAATGAAGTTGGCCCTCCTGAAGTCTAGGGCTACCACCTTGCTGCGGGCCCTTGACACCCTATGCTGGATGGTGAATTCCAGCAAGCGATGATCACTATTGCCCAGTATTGCCCACTATTGGGTCTCAAGCTTCATCACAGGAAATTTAGGTTAGAAATTAGAAGGAACTTTCTGATTATGGGGGTGGTCAAGAATTCAAACAGGCTACCTAGAGAAGTTGTAGGATGTCCATTCTTGGAAATTTTCAAGAGGAGGCTGAAGTTGGTGGGGATTATGATCTCATAAGATCCCATCCAGCTCAATTTACTATGATCCTATATACTTTTCTTATACAAAAATTATTTAAAACAGTAAATGACTATGGCTGCCTAATAAATAATATGCAACAATACTAAGTAAAGAATGTTTGCTAAACTCAAATATATTAATGCAATAAAGGGTTTTTTTAAACAAATATTCAATAAAAATAGTAAATTCATGAAGCTTTTCACTCCACTAACTAATAACTACAAATTATGAATGAAGTCACTGTGATTATAGTTCCACATAGCTCAGGCTGTACAACTCTAATTTTAATTGCACCTCTGTTAAAAAATACCAGAATAGAATTGTACTGTAAATGTCAGGTTTCAATATCAGATATCTGAAAGTTCGCTTTTTGTCTTGATTTGTTTAGAGACCTGAAAATTGAAAATTTCCTTCTTGATGAAAACAACAACATCAAAATAGTTGGTAGGTGTATATAAAATAAAAAAGAAGACCACTTATTGTGCCTCAATTTTGTTCATTCCTATAGCTTTCAATGACAAATCAATTAAACTGCAAGCTTTTGGGGTGAGTTGTTAATGATTATTTAGTAAACATATTTAGTGAAAAGTTGACAATCTTTATCCAAGGGAGAGCTTATAGTTTGTTTGTTTGTACATTAATTATATTTATTTTGAAAACTTATAGGGAGATGCATTTTGTGTGGTGTTTGCTTTTCTTGTGTTCTACCCTATTTTCTTCCATAGTGTGTGTCCCTAAATAAGACATGCACCTTGCTTTTTCAAGGCAAAATGAAGGGGAAAAAGATCTTTCCTGGAAAATTCTGATAAGTACAGTATTTTCCCAGGAGAAACACAGGCATCTGCAGTACGGGGAAGAAAAACATTGTTGCTGCTTAGATATCTGGCTAACTGTAGGACATCACAGGAACTATTGGCTGAGTGAAATTGCCTGACCCCTCCTCTCTTCTTTTCTCAAGATAAGGTGGATGGCTAGCAGCACCTGCAGAGCCAGCTTGCGGGCCCACCCATCTGATTCTGGAGGAGCCTCTGCCCTGACACTAGGGCAGAGGCTCCTGCTAAGTCAATAGCAGCTTCTGCAGCATGAGCATCTACCAGGGGAAAGAAAAAGTGTTCATAGCCAGTAGCTATAGAGCCCTGTGTGTTCATTGCACTGTCCTCTGGTCAGCATTACTTTTTTCCCCAGAAGAGGCCTGTGCTTCAGAAGGCTATTGCCTTATTTCTGTGCCTACAAAACCCACCACAATTTCTGGCATTCATTTTTGTGGGGAAAGGTGCATGTTATATGTGAGAAAATGTGGTAAACTGCATCTTTCTCCTCCAGCAATATAAAAAGTTTATAGGTCACTTGTCTGGAAAGGTGTTACTAGCAAAGAGGATTTGTAGACAAGGAAATAAACCTCTTGGGGACAAATCCACCACTCTGCAAATCCTTCAGCTGAATCCCTTATCATTAAATATTTGGAGAATAAACCTGTTTCTGTCACTAAAGGAAACTTTGCCAGAGTTCTGAAAAGTGCTAAAAACTATTATGAAACAGAGGGACTTTGCACCACACTTAGCACAAGAAAAAACCCTGCATTCAGGAAAAATCTCACAAATCCTGCAAGAGAAACTAGCCTTTAGAGGCTCAACATGCTTAATCTAGTATTACCAACATTTTCAAAGCTTAGCTTCCAATTCCTCCTATCTTCCCCATGGCCAGCCTCACTGCCTTCTCCCCTTCCCTCCCTGCCACCCTCAAGCCCACACTTGCAGTCTGGGAAGCAATTATGTAAATCTCAAAAATAAAACACTTCCTCTCTTTCCTTGCATGCTGTGATGAGCAACAAAGGTAGCCATCTTGACATTTAAAGTGCAACACTGTATTTACTCACATACCGCATGCACCTTTCCTCAGAAAATTACCCAGCATTACCATGATGGAATGGCTGCCCTCTGCTTCTCTCCAGCTAGCATTTGGCAGCAGCAGAGTCCAGTCTTAAGCTTCTAACAGCTTCTGCCTAATTGTCAGTAGCTTTTGGCTGAGTAGCAGCTGTGAATTAATACTCTACTTTTTGCCTGAAGCAGCCTGTGAGGGTACAGAGGGTGAGTGAGCTGCTCCATGAGGTTAGCTTTTGGCTATGACTCTGGAAAAAACATTTTTTTCTTGGCTTCCCAGAAAAAGTGCATTTGTTATTTGGGAGCATATATGACATTTGGCCTCTGAAAGCATGGACAAACATAACACTTAGACCAATTTAAATGCAGTTTAAATCTGAAGGGGACAGACAGACAAGCCTGTTAAGCTGGTTTAAAGCTGGCTGGAATGGTTAAAAAGTGTACGTGGAAAATTAAGAATTCTTTTGAAGTAGTTCACTGTAGACTGGTTCTGTGTTACGTGTGGACACCGAGGCTAGGGACAGACATTACACATAAACTGGTTTAAGGGGTCAGAAAATGGTTTAAAACTGTAACAGAACAGATGTTCAATGCACATAAACAAGTTTGAAAATGGCTGAAACCAGTTTGAGATAAACCTGTTTGAAAGTAGTATTAGACTTAATTGATTTGGCTCAAACTGGTTTATGCAATGTCTGTCCCTGATCCCTTGCTGGTTTAAGATAAACTAGACTCCCACAGCAGCCTGGCATGCTCTCTAGGCTGGGCAGGGCTCTCTGCTCCACAGCAGGGCTGGCCCCTCCCCTCTGCTCCCTGGCTGGAGCTCCAGCAGAGACTGCAGATACAGCAGGGTCTGCCTGGGTTCCCCCTGCCCAACCCTCTGGACAAGCAAGGATCTGCCCCACCCTCCTATATCCCACAGCATGGATCCCAGCCCCATGGACCCTAGG